GGGTACCCAAGTGTTTTAGAGGGAGAGGTTATGGGGAAAATGGGCTAGACCCATTGGACCCAAAAATCACCACACGCGCGCCGCCGTCCGTCCGGGCGGGTTGGGCTTCTAATCTTTTTAGAGGGAGAGGTTATGGGCAAAATGGGTTAGACCCATTAGGCCCAAAAATCACCACACGCGCGCACCGCCATCCGGGCGGGCTGGGTGCGTGGTGTGTGGTTGGGCTTCTAATCTTTTTAGAGGGAGAGGTTATGGGCAAAATGGGTTAGACCCATTAGGCCCAAAAATCACCACACGCGCGCACCGCCATCCGGGCGGGCTGGGTGCGTGGTGTGTGGTTGGGCTTCTAATCTTTTTAGAGGGAGAGGTTATGGGCAAAATGGGTTAGACCCATTAGGCCCAAAAATCACCACACGCGCGCACCGCCATCCGGGCGGGCTGGGTGCGTGGTGTGTGGTTGGGCTTCTAATCTTTTTAGAGGGAGAGGTTATGGGCAAAATGGGTTAGACCCATTAGGCCCAAAAATCACCACACGCGCGCACCGCCATCCGGGCGGGCTGGGTGCGTGGTGTGTGGTTGGGCTTCTAATCTTTTTAGAGGGAGAGGTTATGGGCAAAATGGGTTAGACCCATTAGGCCCAAAAATCACCACACGCGCGCACCGCCATCCGGGCGGGCTGGGTGCGTGGTGTGTGGTTGGGCTTCTAATCTTTTTAGAGGGAGAGGTTATGGGCAAAATGGGTTAGACCCATTAGGCCCAAAAATCACCACACGCGCGCACCGCCATCCGGGCGGGCTGGGTGCGTGGTGTGTGGTTGGGCTTCTAATCTTTTTAGAGGGAGAGGTTATGGGCAAAATGGGTTAGACCCATTAGGCCCAAAAATCACCACACGCGCGCACCGCCATCCGGGCGGGCTGGGTGTGTGGTGTGTGGTTGGGCTTCTAATCTTTTTAGATATGGACAAAATGGGCTAGACCCATTGGACCCAAAAATCACCACACGCGCGCGCGCGCCGCTGCCGTCCGGTCGGGCGGGCTGGGCTGGGCTTGGGCGCGGGTGCATGTCCAAAATTCAAATTAAACTGGTTTGGATTTATTGTTCATCCAAACAGGGCCCTTCCCTTTTTCAAACAAAATTAAACTGTTTTGGACATCCAAACAGAGCCCTTCCCGTTTTCAAACAGAATTAAACTGTTTTGGATTTATTGCTCATCCAAACAGAGCCCTTACCGTTTCTATCTGTTTGAATAAACAGATTCAAATCTGTTTAAATTTGAATCTAACAGGTTTCATACCTGTTCAATTCAAAACCAAAAGCCACCTTTACATCTATAAATAGACTAGCCTCCCATTTGGATTTAATTCGAATTTTCGTACTCCATCCTCTGCAAATTATATTCTTCATCTTGCTGCATATTATTTCCGAAAGAAATAGTGTAAACACTTAGTGTGTTCGTAAGGCAAACAATTTGTAGTGCTGCTATTGTTTGTGGTAAGATCATTTCATCCTGGGAGATAGACGTCCAAATTCTGAAAGCACCGTAGAGAGGACGAATCTGTCTTAAGGACACAGTGTTAAACACTGGACTTGATCAGAAAAGTTATTCAAATAAATTAACCAAGTAAGTTGTTTAATTTTATTCTGTCTTTATTTGTTTATTTAATCAGATTTTAATTTTGTTTTTGTAACAAAATAAAATCTGTAGTTTTATTTATTTATTTTTATTTCGAGTTTGATTTTTGTAATCAAACAAAGTAGTAATGGAGAAGAGAGCAATATCGAAGCTGAACATCGTCATCATTCATCCTGACCTCGGAATCGGTAATCTATATATGTATATATATACATTTTGAGTTATTTTATTTTAATTAATGAATATCAATAAAAAAATATCACATAAATATACTTCAGAATGAAAAGAGTCACCTTCTAGCATATAGTTCCAAATTCCTAGCAAAGTCTTCTAAATGAATAGCACATAGCCCCAAATCGCTAGCAAAGTCAACGACTTTGAAAATATTTACAGTATATGGTCCACATTTGAAATATTGCAAATTCTTCCTTTGCATGAAGCAAACCAAAATTATACAAAATTATCATGTTAAGTTATTTTATTGAGTTTTATTTTTAAATTTAAAATTTTATAATTGTATGCTATATTAGTTTGTAGTGAAAGTCTATACATTTTTTTTGTAAGAGTGGCATTTTTTCTTCTAAATCCGTTCAATCTTACAATATTTTACAACATAACATCGGCCTTGTTTTCATTTTTATGTTTTTTTTCTTCTTCTATCATTTGTGTTTTATAAACAAAAATAAGGAAAAGTTTGAAAACAAAAATTGTTTTTATATTAGTGTAAAATAAGTAGTTCAAGATTTTTGAGTAGTTGTATATATACAAAAATCGAGAAAAATTGATTCACTTGATTTGGGCATTGTTTGGTATAAATTAAAAAATCAAAAAATTACTATCCTATTTAAATTATATCATTTTATTTAAGTCACATCACATTTTTACCACATCACTTCAAACTCAACCCATGCCCAACTCATATTTCATAAAAAATAAAAAAGTATACTTATTTAGATCATCTTAAAAAGTCCACTTATTTTATAAAAAGTCAAAAAGCATACTTATTTTGATTTAAATAATTTTACATTACATTTTCCATTTTTAATAATATTTTTCGACCTACGCCTTTTTTGGTTGCACTTTTTTGGTATCATTTCTTACTTTTGTTTTCTATATTGACAACTATGAAAAAAGCAAGAAGCCTATTGATGTATATATATATATATATATATTTAGGTCTAAACCATCGGTATCTGGAAGTTTACAGGATCTCGATTAATTGTTGGAAATAGTTATAAAATTCTGGATAAAATCAAAATTTTTTCCTAAGTTCGGTTTATTTTTTAGGTGGGCCCCGAGTGTCGATTTACTCGGGTCAAAGTGGTAACGCGTTCTATGCCGCGTTGTGATTCACGTGGTATATTTGGTTGCTCAAAACCATTACCGAGTGAATGGGAAATTGAAGCCAAAGTGTGCTCCATGGAAATAGAGTTATGGTGGAAATTCCTTA